TTTAAATAATGGTTTAAGGTTATGTTGTTTCTGGTATAATGGCTTTGATGTAAAAAAATTGGAAAACAATTTAAAGGCATACTTTCAATAGCTGAGTGAGGAACTTGTTGAGGTCAGAGAACAGGAAGAATGGTAGCCTGGCTACTGCTGGCTGTGGAGCTTTTCTTACTAGGATACCTTGGTGATCAAGGTGATGACTTATTCCTTGTGCCCATTTTTGTCCTCAGCTTCCTGATATGATTTAATAAAAATATGGTTGATGAGCAGGTATGTACCCTGAAGATTTAAAGTAATTTCTACTTTATATATAAAATCTTAGATTTGTGATTCTTTTAAGACTTTTTATAAGATTATCTTTTTTCTTTCTTCTCTTTTTTTTTTTGTTTTTTGGTTTTTCAAGACAGGGTTTCTCTGTGTAGTTTTGGTGCCTGTCCTGGATTTTGCTCTGTAGACCTGATTGGCCTTGAATACACAGAGATCTGCCTGGCTCTGCCTCCTGAGTGCTGGGATTAAAGGCGTGTGCCACCACTGCGACCTAGCTACCTTTTGAGATAAAAAATAAAGTGATTGATCCTTTCCTTGAAACCACAAAATGCAGCCTGCCAGTAAAAGAACTGGCTGAGAAAGTAGGTTGTTTGTTTATACTTTGTTAATCTATAACAAGTTGCTTGGCTATAAATGCAGGTGGGTTCTTGGGACAACTTGTTTTTCACCTTTAATACATAAAATGTTTAGTCATGTAAAGGATATGGAAAACATGCTGTTTTTTATTTATAATCATTCACTTGAGAAATAGAATGTAACTATATTGTGCTTTTTATATTGCTTTAAAGATTTTGCTGTGGTAATATAAGCTGTAAGGAGAAAGTAGAGACACAAGAGAAGGAAAACAACAGGAAAGATATAGAAGGAAAATTAGAAGACATCAAGATAGACAGAAGGAAAACATCAGGAGAATAGAGTAGAGCAAGCAACAGAATAATAATAAAATAAAGAACTAAGCTTTGGCCCTCAGAAAAGTCATCGTGTGTCTCTTTGTTCAGTAGTTTGCCTACTTTGCATCTCCTCTTCAGTTTCTCTGGCCAGCTGAAGGCTTGTAAGGCATGAGTACCCTAGTGAGATCCTGACATGTTGGAGATGTATGTGTGTGAGTGTGTGTGTGTGTTTTCCCTTTTTTTTTTTTTTTTTTTTTTGCCAGCCCCAGAAAGTTAAGTTTTACTCCCTCATATAGAAAAATCAAGTTGAGTGCATAGTTTGCCAACTCTGTGGATCCCCCTCAATACCGGAGCTGCTGAAGGCTGGTCCTCATGGCAGCAATAATATATTTTGGATATTAACCCTTGTGGTGGTTTGAAAGAAAATGGCCCCCAAAGGGAGTGGCACTATTAGGAGGTGTGGCTTTGCTGGAGTAGGTATGGCCTTGTTGGATGAAGTCACTCTGGGAGTGGACTTTGAGGTCTCCAATGTGAAAGGTACTCCCAGGGTCACAATTCACTTCCTGTTGTCTTCTGATCAAAATGTAGACATCATCAAGTCTGCCTGCATGCCACCATGTTCCTCACCATGATGATAATGGACTAAACCTCTGAAAAGTGCAAGTCGCCACCTCAATTAATGTTTTTCTTTATAAGAGTTGCCATGGTCATGGTGTCTCTTCACAGCAATAGAAAACCTAAGACAGCCTTCTAACAGATGAGGGGTTGGCTAAAATCTTTTCCTGTACTATACGCTGTCTCTTTGAATGATGGTGTCCTCTGCCATACAGAAGCTTTTCAGTTTCTTGAGGTACCATTTATTAATTGTTGTTCTTAGTGCCTGTTCTATCAATGTTCTGTTCATACATGCAGTCACTTTTCCCATGCCAATGAGTTTGAGGCTATTCCTCACTTTCTCTTCTACCAGATTCAGTGTATCTGGCCTTATGTTAAGGTTATGGATCTGAGCAGGGTGATAAGTATGGATCAATTTGGATTCTTCTAACATGCAGTCATCCATTTTGGCCAGCACCATTTGCTGAAGATGATAGATAGATAGATAGATAGATAGATAGATAGATAGATAGATAGATAGATATGAAAGGCACTGAATTTTCTACAGGCATCTGCACTGCTTCAATATTTTGAATATTTTTGCAGTAAATATGGGTCAGCAGATTTCTCTGTGCTCTTGCTACACACTTCCTCTCCCACTATCAGTTTTCCAATCCACCCCCACTCTGGCCCAGGCTGCCTTCACCACATCTCCTGCTGTCAGACTGTCAGAAACCTGCTCTGCATAACCACCCCACATGCTTGCTATTGACTTAGACCAGAGCTGGGTGTAGTAGAATGCTTCACTCCAATACCTGGACAAGAACCTGGGTGTACAACGCTTGAGCATAGCAACTGATATTGAGATTCCAATTTGCTGGAAAACTGAATAGTGGGAGAGGAAGTGTGTAGCAACAGCAGCTTATGAACGTATATAATTCAGCATAGCACAGATCCAAGAGCCAGAGCCAGGGGAAGAATGCAGTGAAAAACGTGGATATTACAATGCCACTCTGTTCATCTGCACTAGGACTCTTGAGATTGGGGCCATCAACATTTCATAATACCTGAGAGAGGGGCCTCAGAGGTTGGAGCCTTCTCCGAATGTAGTGGAGGGGTGTCTTCAGTTACAGGGTGAAGCCATTAATGAGTTGCCCACGATCTAATAACTCCCATACATGCTCAGACAGGTAACTCTAGTTAAAATCAAAGGATCCCAGTCAAAGAGGTGAAAGGAGATCTGATGATTTTATTTCTGCAACTGCCTTCTGCATTATCTGTATAAAAACTCCCGTGATACCCCCAGGAATACTTTTTTTTTAATTTATTTGTATTTTATTTATGTATGAGTGCTCTGCATATACACTTGTATCTCAGAAGAGGGCATCAGATCCTATTATAGATGATTGTGAGCCACCACATGGTTGCTGGGCATTGAACTCAAGATCTCTGGAAAAGCTGCTGGCAGAAGCCATGCTGTCACCCCCGGAAATGGTGCATAAATGTTTGGTGAATGGAGCTCCTTGTGGCAAGGCCCTTTGAAGAATCTCATCCAACTGGCAGGGACCTGTGGAAGCAATGCTGCAGACCCCTGTGCTGATCCTAAGGAGCTCATGGACTTCAGGCTTCTCTAACTTTCACTATGCTTATTCTCATGTTAATTCTCAGTCTTGTTTTGTCAGTTGTGATTGTAGCTGTTTACTGGGAACAAAAGCTGGTAAGTTTCTACAAAGAAATCAAACCTTTCTGCATTCATTCACAGAAACCGGTTTCTCCAGTCACCCCTGGCTGCCTTTGCCATCATTCTGAGAAAGGAGAACTGACTAGGGCTAACGGTTCTTGCTTAATTAACTATCCTAAAAAAAAGAAAACTGTATTCTAAAAAATTTAAGAACTTGGGAGAAAGTTTCTTAAAAACTTATAGGGACACGTAAGGAAAAGGTAAAGGATATGAAAGGTCAGAAATATCTCTGGTGCCAGGACATGAATGGTTAGATATTTTTTCAGTTAAAACTGTCAGTTCCCTTGGAAGTAGAAAGTACACATAGGAACTGTCTTGTTCCCACAGCTAAAAATTTAAGTAAACATTACCATTTTGGGAATTTATAAGGAATAGAATAACTGTTGTACATATAAAACTGATACACAGATTATTTAGAAATTGGTTTAGACCTGAAAATATCCTAGATATGGCATCATACACTCAGCAGATTACAAAAATATAAATGTATCACATTGTTAAGGACTAATCATAAGCCTCTTTTCTTTTTAAGCTGCATGTTTGCTGTTGGCTAGGGCACAGTATGAATAAGATGTGTCTGGCCAGATATAATCATTTGGCTTGCAATATAAAAATTAATGATATGGGGTAAAGGTCTATGATGTTAAGGGAGTAAGAAAGAAGAAAAGAAACTAAAATGGGCAAATCTTCATGATTCTTGGAAAATGATTAAAGAGAAATGTATTACAGCTACTCATGCTTGAATGCACTAGAACTTGTATAAAAACAGCTTGAGTTATTCAATGCCATCTGTTTGAAAGACAACTGGTGGTCAGACTCTTCATTTCTGGCCAATTTCACACCTCTGTACTCCGGCTCAGAACTCTGCTGGAACTGGACTCCAGCAAGTAGCCAGTGCTCCTAACCTCTGAGCCATCTCTCCAGCCCCTGCATAAAAACTCTTGATTCAGAATCAGGGGCAACATCATAGGATCATAATTCCGCCATCTCTATATGAGGCTCCTTGATGCTGCTTCATAGAGTTTGCACCTACACAGTCACCTTTCCAATCACAAATGGGAAATCTGTTCACCTGTCTAATGCATTTGTTAGCAGTATGTGCTTCTGATTTCCTTTTTTCCTTCTTTTTTAAGAAACAGAGTAAAAGCAGAGATGCCACTCAGGAAACCTGTTACAGCTGGTCAGTGAGCAGCACTCACCACAGTTGGCATGTTCTATGTTTTCCACTGACACATCCGAAAACCAATCTTCTGGCCTAAACCCTCTATGCTATAAAAGTAGTCACGAAAACAATTCTCACCTAATGTGCATCAAATTCTCTCTCTGCCGGATGCACACTACAGGTTGTACTAACCATCTCAGTTCATGTTTCAACAAACAATACCACGAAACCCTTAATGTTCATACACATATCCACATCAGTTGGATATGACTATCCTACTGCACTGAAATCTCTGAAACATATGGTATGGTTAAATACACTGCAACACATTTCTTGGCTAAGGTCTAAAATTTCTGAGTCTATTTGTAGTATCAATATTCTAATATAGTGCTTCAGAGTTGGAGTAAGTACTTCCTCATCTTTTCTTAGTATTTCAAAATAATCTTCAAGCACAATCCTGGGGATTTCTAAGGCATACATGAGCATGTACACATTGTCTTCTTCATATGTTATCTCTTTAAAGTTTCATAATTTGCAGATATTTGTATGGATCAACTCACACATGAAATGAAGCTGAAAGTAAGTCTTTATTAAAGCATTTTCTTAAGATTTATTTCATGATGAATTTTCTAGTATGTCTACAATATTACGGTTGCTTAAAGGATTTAACAAAAAGAGCTGAAATTCAATCGTTTGTGGGGGAGGCTTATAGAGTAGAATTTCTAAGGTAAAACAAGAAACAAGGATGCAATAGTGTTCATACTTGCCCATGAGCAGCAATGTTCTGGGGTTCATTAAAGCATGAGTGAATCACAGAGTCTAAGCATTAGAGGAATGCATAGACACAGCCCAGTTTGGAATATGTCTCTGACAGTTTGGTAGACATATTTTCATTTGTCCCCCTGCAGACTGCTCTCTCTCTGAATGCTACAAAGAAAGCAGCCTCTTTTCTGAGGCTCTGTAAGCCTGTAAGTTCTGTCTGTGTTGAGCTCCTTTAACCAGACCAGGTACTACTATGGCAGCAAGCTTGGAGCAGTGAGCACCAACAATCTTCCCTAATTTAGTTGACTCAAATACTTTCTCTACTATCATTTTTCTGGTGTACATGCAATTTGGAGGAATAAGATCAGCACATGTTTCACGAGAGTTGTTTCCTGGGGAAAACACAAAATATGCATGTGTTTAACCACCCAAATGGGGACTAACAACTGGATGCCACTGAAATCCATCTTGTTAAATCAATGAGCTTTACTGGATTATAGGAATATGGAGTGTTGCAAAATATGATTACACTGTGCAAAGATGTGTCACTGTGATTGGTTTAATAAGAAGCTAAAGGGTCAATAGCTAGGTAGGGAGAATAGGCAGGACTTCTGGGAAATAGAACTGGGGATGAATCTAGGCATGCAGAGGAGATGCCAGCAAGATGCAGAATGAGTTGGAGGTACAGAATGAAAGGTAAAAAGCCACGTGCTAGTACATAGATTTAAAAAATGGGACAATTTAAGATATAGGAGCTAGTTAGGAACAAGCCTAAAGTATAGGCCAAGCTTTCATAATTAATAATAAGTCTCCCTGTTTTTATTTGTGAGCTGGCGTCCCAAATAAACATATGGCTACCAAGAAGCCATTTATAGGGATAAAGGGGACTCAAAGATAATTGCCCCCATGAAACTCCAACCTAGCATGAGATGTAGATTATGAATACTGGACACCTGGAACACACTGCCCACCTGCAGGTATTCCCATAGGTTAAAGGGTGCCCTATCTTTGTGGCTCAATTAAAGCCTCATCTAAGAAGCATAATTGGCATGAGTTTCTTCATGGGTGTTAAACACAGTGAATCCTGTGAGATTCAGATACTTCTTGAAGCTATTGCGTGGTTATTTCCTATCTTAATCAGTTTCCCTTTAGGATGGAATCTTTTAGTCTCCAGGAACTAGCTACACAAGAGCATATTCATAAGGTTTCTCCATTTTGTATTCATTATAAAATATTTGCAGTTGAAATAGTATGTTTTACAGAAAATTTTTGTACATTGCCACATTTTTAGAATTTTCCTCAGTATGAACTTTTGATATTTTCTAAGACATGAACATCACTTAAAGGGTTTCACAAGTTTTTCATGTTCAAAATGATTTTCTAGTGTAGAGTCTTTAGTGGTCCCTAAAGACATAGCTTGGATATGTCTTTACTATGGAAACTTTCTCCACAGAATGTATTTTTTGATGTTTTCTTAGACATGAGAGGCAGGTAAAGTCTTTGCCACTTGCAATATATTTGTAAGGTTTCTCACCTCTATGAATTTTCTGATGCAGCCTAAGATATGAGTCAGTGGTAAAGGATTTCTCACATTAACAACAGTTGTAACGTTTCTCTCTAGTATGAAATTTCTGATGAAATCTAAGGTATGAGCCACTGGTGAAGGATTTCTCACATTCACTACATTTGTAATGTATGAATTATCTGATGCATTCTAACATATGACCTACCGGTAAAAGATTGGTCACATTCACTGCATTTGTAAGGTTTCTCTCCTGTATAAATTCACTGATGGGTTCAAAGTTGGCATTTCTATATAAAGCATTTGCCACATTCATTACATTTGTAGGTTTCTTTCCTTTATGAATTTGCTGGTGTTCTCTAAGTTTGACTTTCAGGTTAAAGCATTTACCACATTCACTGCATTCATAAGGTTTCTCCCAAGTATGAATTTTCTGATGTATCTTAAGATGTTGTTTCTTGATAAAGGATATATCACATGCACTACATTTGTAAGGTTTCTCACCTCTATGAATTTTCTGATGCAGTCTAAGATATGAGCCAGTGGTAAAGGATTTCTGACATTCACCACATTTGTAAGGTTTCTCTCCTGTATGAAATTTCTGATGTATTCTAAGATATGACCCACTGGTAAAGGATTTCTCACATTCATTGCATTTATAAGGTTTCTCACCTGTATGAGTTCTCTGATGCAACTGAAGAGATGAACAACTGGTAAAGGATTTCTTACATTCACTGCATTTGTAAGGATTCTCTTCTGCATGAATTTTCTGATGGCTTCTAAGATCTGAACCAACTGAAAAGGATTTCTCACACTCACTACATTTATAAGGCCTCTCTCCTGTATGAACTGTCAGATGTCTCCTCAGCTGTTGTTTCTGGATAAACCCTTTGCCACATTCATTACATTTGTAAGGTCTCTCACCTGTATGAATGTTCTGATGCAATTGAAGAGATGAACTACTGGTAAAGGATTTCTCACAATCACTACATTTAAAAGGCCTCTTTCCTGTATGCATTGTCTGATGTCTTCTAAGTTGGTGTTTCTGGATAAATGATTTGTCACAGTCACTGCATTTGTAAGGTTTCTCACCTGTATGAATTCTCTTATGCAATCGAAGAGATGAACTACTGCTAAAGGATTTCTGACATTCACTGCATTTGTAAGGACTCTCTTCTGCATGAATTTTCTGATGGCTTCTAAGATCTGAGCCAAGTGAAAAGGATTTCTCACATTCACTACATTTATAAGGCTTCTCTCCTGTATGAATTGTTTGATGTCTCAAAAGCTGTTGTTTTTGAACAAAATCTTTGCCACATTCATTACATTTATACGGTCTCTCACCAGTATGAAATTTCCGATGCAATCGAAGAGATGAACTACTGCTAAAGGATTTCTTACATTCACTACATTTGTAAGGATTTTCTTCTGTATGAATTTTCTGATGGCTTCTAAGATCTGAACCAACTGAAAAGGATTTCTCACACTCACTACATTTATAAGGCCTCTCTCCTGTATGAACTGTCAGATGTCTCCTCAGCTGTTGTTTCTGGATAAACCCTTTGCCACATTCATTACATTTGTAAGGTCTCTCACCCTTATGAATGTTTTGATGCAATTTAAGGTATGAACTACTGGTAAAGGATTTCTCACACTCACTACATTTATAAGGCTTCTCACCTGTGTGAATGTTCTGATGCAATCGAAGAGATGAACTACTAGTAAAGCCTTTCCCACATTCACTGCATTTGTATGGTTTCACACCTGTATGAAATTTCTGATGCAATCTAAGATATGAACTACGGGCAAAGGATTTCTCACATTCAGTGCATTTATAAGGCCTCTCTCCAGTATGAATTGTCTGATGTCTCCTAAGATGGTCTTTCTGGAAAAAAGACTTGTCACATTCATTACATTTGTAATTCTTCTCCCCAGTATGAAGTTTCTGATGGGTTTTTAGATGTGTCTGCTGGGTAAAGCATTTGCCACATTCCCCACACTTGTAAGGTTTTTCCCCTGTATGAATTCTTTGATGTGTTTTAAGTTTGGCTTTCTGAAAAAAAGATTTACCACATTCAGTGCATTTGTAAGGTTTCTCTCCTGTGTGAATCCTCTGATCTGTTTTAACACCTAAAGCAATGGAAAGGGATTTGTCACATTCATTGAATCCATCAAGTTTCTCTCCATTATGGCTACTATCATGGTATTCAAGGTGTGACAAAATGTAGAAGTTACTACATTGCTTACATTCAGGAGACTTCTCTCCTCTATGAAGTTTCTGATGTTTTCCAAGATCTGAGCAGCAAATGAAGGACTTGCCATAATCAGTAAATTTGTAAATTTTCTCTCCAGGATGGATTCTGTAATGTCTTTTAAATTCTGATGAATCATAAAAGCACTTACTACTTTCAGTACATTTGTAGGGTTTTTCTCCATAATGGATGTTGTTATGTACTTTGAGTTGTGATAGAAGCAGAAAGAAATTACTACATTCTGTACAGTTATACGGTTTCTCCTCTGTATGAGATCCTTTATGTCTACTGAGGATTGAGCATGTCTTGAAGCATTTTCTACATTTCTGGCATTGCTGTGGTTTCTTTCCATTGTGGAGTCCTTCCAGTGTGAGTTTTTGTCTAGAGTCAAAAGATTTATCATTCTCTGTATTTTTGTGTTCTTCCTTTCCAGTGTGGATTCGTAGATTTTGGCTAATGATGGAACACAAATTTAAACAGTTTATACAGTCCTTATATTTGGAAGGTTCTTCTCCCGTGTTCCCACTTCTTTGTCTGGTTGAGTTTAATAATTCAACAGAGGCATCTACAGTATCACTTGTGTCATAAGGTGTACATGTAAAAAATTCATGTATAACTTTGCAAAGATCATTACATTTAAAAGCCTTCTCTTGGATATTCACATAATCATGGACAATATGCTTTGAGCCATGGTGAAGGTCATTCTTATATTCAACACACATGTGATGGTTGTCTGGAAAATTAGCACAATTAAGGATTATAGGGATTGATTCATGAATAACAGATTCAATAGCTGAATTTCTCTTAAAAAAGGTGAACAAACAATTCTCAGGAATAGAGCTTTGAGCAGATGCCTTTTGCACTTAACTATCATTATATGGAAGCTCAGAACCTCCACTCAAACTAATTTCCTTCTCATTCTTATCTAAACCTTGTAGAAGGTCAAATAAGTGATTGAACAAAAATGAACTCTGAGAAAGGAGCTCTTTGAAGGATCATGAAGGAAGATCCCACATTTCCTTGTTGTGTATGCATCTGAGACAAAGTCATATCATTGCCTTCTTTGGTTAGGAACTTACTTTGTAACTCAGGCTGGAATGAAACTCACCTTTTGCTTCATCCTCCCCAATGCTATGATTAAAACCATACCAAGACTAAATAGAGACTATATCTCAAACAATAAGTAAATAAACAAAAACAACAACATGCTCACCATCAAAAACTCTTTCTTTAATTAAAAACCTATCCTTTTGAGGGCTCTAATGGGAAGCATGGATTTCCTTGGAAAGGGGAAATAGAATGAATACTGTGAATGGAATGGAGTAGGGATGGGAAAAGGAGAGATCAGGTTGAGGGGCAAGAATGGAGGGAGAGAATATGGGAAGAGACAACTGGAATTGGAGGGCACTGGCGCGGTGTGTGTGTGTGTAAACTTAATGCAGTAGAAACTTCCAGAATTCTATGAGGGTGACTAGAAACAGAGGATTCAGAGCCTGAACTACCTATCCTCTGTAACCAGGTAAGGCTTACGATGGTGGGACTGGGATACCAACTGAGGCATACAACCTTCCATCTACAATCTATCCCACCTGCCAGATGTGCTGGGGCAATGGAGGTGCAGAATTTGTGGAAGTGGCCAACCAATGACTGGTCTAATTTGAGGCCAACATCATGAAAAGAAGCCCATGCCCAAAATTGCCTGGATGACCAGGAACCTGAGGCTAGATAGCCTTGAAACATATGATAGAAAAAAAATCAATAAAATGACTCCTAATGATATTCATAGATACTCATACATCAGTGTCTGCTCTAATCATCATCAGAGAGGCTACCAGCAGCATCTAATGGGAGCAGATGCAGAACCCACAGCCAAACATTAGGCAGAGTTCAAATTGGAGATCTCCATCAGGTCTGTCCCCTTGGAGCTCAGCGAACTCCAAGGAATAAGAGGAAGAAGTGTGGGACCCAGAGAGGTCAAGGACGCCAGGAGAACACAGCCCACAGACATCAGCTAGGTAAGACTCATAGGGACTCACAGAGACTGGAGGGGCAATCATGGAGACTGCATTGGTCTGCCCTAGGTCCTCTGCATATATGTTATGGTTGCTAGGTTGATGTTTTTGTGGGACCATTAACAGTGAGAGTGGGGACATCTCTAACTCTTTTGACTGCTTTTGAAACCCTTTCCTCCTACTGTGTTGCCTCATCCAGTCTTAATGTGAAAGATGTGTCTAGTCCTTGTTTTTGTATTTGCTTGGCTTTGTTTGTTTGTTTGTTTGTTTTTGGTTTTCAAGACAGGGTTTCTCTGTGTAGCCTTGGCTGTCCTGGAACTCACTCTGTAGACCAGGCTGGCCTTGAGCTCAGAGATCTGCAGGTCTCTGCCTCCTGAGTGCTGGGATTAAAGGGATGTGCTATCACTGCCCTGCTGTGTATAATCTTATTGAATTTTGTTATGCTATGTTCAGTTGAGATATGAGAGGCCTGCTCCTGTCTGAAAGGAAATAGGGGGAGTGAATCTGGAGGAGAGGGGAGAATGGGGGAGATGGGAGGAGAACATTGAGGGAAAACTTGTGACCAAATACACTGAAAATAAAAACCAAAGAAAACTCATTTTTTAAAAAATCAGAAACAGAATAGTTTAATCTTAGAGTAAAATAAAAACATTGCAGTTACTTAGTATACTGCAATGTATGTCCTTTCCCTAAATATTCACTTTTCTTTGAACTTTGAGGTTTTCAGTAAAAACAAGTAAGAGGGCTAGAGAGATCAGGCAGTATATATCATTGGTTACTCTTCCAGAGAACACAAAAATATAAAGAAAGCACCATGAAAAGATTATGTTGATAACCAGCCTTTCCCTTATTTCTGGAAGTCTCTAGATGGTTCAGGGAGTTTACATACATACAAGTATGTAAATACAAATGATAACTAAGGAATTCTACAAGAAGAGCATTCTTACCTAAAAAGACTAGATTGCTGTAATTCTCCAACATCACATCCATGTACAAAGCTCTCTGAGCGGAGTCCAGACATTCCCACTCTTCATGGGAGAAGTCCACAGCTACATCCTGGAATGTCAACTGACCCTGTAATGGAAAATTACACATTTACTGTGAGCTACTGGACAAAATGCTTCCCTAGGTAAAAGACACCTAAAAAATTAGAGATACTTTTGTGATACAGGTAAGGTATGAATATTAGTTTCAAACACAAATTTTCAAAATGTGCTACAGAGATGTCTTAGCAGTTAAGAGAACTGGTTGCTCTTCCAGAGGACCACAGTTTGGCTTCCAGCACCCAGATGGCACCATTCCAGTTCCATGGGATCCAATGGTCTCTTCTAAATTCTATAGGCAGGGGACACAGGTAGCACTCACACATATATTCAGTCAAATATATCCACACACATAAGATAAAATTGAAAGTTAATTTTAATAAAAGATACTTTCTAGAATAGTCACTCTATATTGTTTTTCATATCTCTGTAAAAACAAGATGACATAATAGTATTACAATCAGCAAATTTATAAGGAACATAAGATACATACTTAAGGTCTAGATTCAGGAATGTACCTTTACAAAGTCTATCTTGAAATCAAAGAGGATCACAGAGTCATATCTCACAAGGAAAATTTAGGATGAGCAAAACTCAAAAAATTTGCTTCTAAATTCTACAACTCTCAACTTTGCTCAAATATGGATGCTATAGCAATCCTCTCTGCAGCCGAGCCTCACATGACTCTATTCTAACATTCAGTTCAGATCCTGAGCCCTAGATACAATCCTTCACACTTTCTAGAACAAAGAGGTAGAATATAGAATGAAGAATTCATGGATAAATTAAAAGTCAGAGATTTTTCTTTAAATAGTAGAGTATAACATCAGTGCATACATCCAACATTCTAAATAAGCCATAGAATCAACTATTCTGTGAAATTTTTTATGAAAATATTTATAGGCATGAACTAAAAAGAAAAATCATATCTAAATTTTTCTAAAAGTAGATACAACCAATACTTATGAAGAACAATTTCAGAAATTCCATATGGGGTTTCACTATAGGATGAGAAAAATATTTACGAATAAACATTGTAATGTGACAATGCATTCAATGAAGTACAAAGATTTTATGTTTGAAATGAAGGTATTAAGTATGTGAGAATTATTCTAACTCCCTATTAGTTTTGAATATATTACTGCTCATAAGATTTGCTCAATTGAAAATTCCAATCTTCAAATTTCAACTCTATTCTTTTTTTCAGTATTTGAGCTGAATTGTCTAACAGGACTTTGTTTTGCATAGATAAGAATTATTTATGATTTCTCCTTCATTTTTCCAAAAATAGAAGACATGAGGATATATACTAGCTCTGCACCACAAATTGAATGTGCACCACAGATGTAAACCTAGGGGCTGGAAAGATGGCTCAGAAGTAAAGGACGTTTGCTGTTCTTGCAGAGAAACTGAGCTTCATTTTCTCTACACATAGGTCAATTCAATACAGTATCTAACTCTAGTGCCAAGGGTTAGGGCTTCATAGGAATCATGTAGGCATGCAGTGCACAGAAAAACATGCAGATGAACTCTCACATACTTAAATTAAAATATTTTTAAACAATGAAAAGGAAACCTATCCTTTGCAACAATTCTTCAAAGTCTCTACATATGTAATCTATAGCTTCAGGGAAAGAAACAACATAAGGTCAGAGAGCCTTCTTCCTTCAAAAGAAAAGAAGAGGGTAATGTCATTAGAGGAGACATTTACTTATGCTTGAAAATTGATGGCTTATATACAGCACCAAGTCAATGTTCTTTAGGAAATTCTTACTGATATATTCAACATGATGCAATATAGAGGCAGAGACATTAGTGCTTACACGTTGTCTGAAAAATAAAACAAGACAAGAGAAAATACTGCTCTGTCTATTGAGAACTTTGCACGGAGCACTGTTTATCTAGAGAATGATGTGAGCAGGGTCATCTCTCCTGAGACAAAAAGATTTCAGGTGTCAATACACCCATCATTACTGTGTGACATCAAAAGGAAAAGAGAATCCAGTATATTGAAATTTGCATCTCATAAAAACATCCATTTTTACAGCAAGAGCAAGCCACATATTCCTTCCACTATCTGTGCTTCCTAGGGTGCTGAAATATTTAGTAATAGGATTCAAGACAGTGCATCTCTTCTAATTCTACATTTCCATAAATTGCTCAGTCATGTCAGCCAAAGTTTCATGTACTTTGATGGTCACTATCATAAACCTTGCTTTGGAAAACTGACCAAATCTGGCATGCAATCTATGCTGCACATGAAATCTTCCTTCCTCTCTAATATTTAAGGACACAAGTCCATTCTCTATAGGAAATGGTCATCAACATAGTTCTTTGATTGATTAACCCCCTGAGAAATATATGTCCTCATAGAAATAACCGAGGAAGGCTACAATGGGACAAGGCTGTGCTACAGAGCTGAAAGATTTAAGGACTTAATTCTGACAATCAGAAAAGAAAATGAAAGAAAGAACACTAGAAAATAAATACTTTAGAAGATGTAGTGATTTGAATAGGAATGGCCCCATAGGCTCATAGGTTTAAATGCTTGGTCAACAGGGACTAAAACAATTAGGTGGTGTGGCTTTGTTGGAGCAGGTATGGCCTTATTAAATGAAGTATATCACTAGGGGTAGGCTACAACACTTTCAGAAGCTCAAACCAGGTCCTGTCTTTTTCTTCCTGCTGCCTGCTGATCCAGATGAACTCTTGGCTCCTTCTCCAGTACCACATCTGCCTGTACAACGCCATGCTTCCTGCCCTGACAATAAAGGTCTAAACTTCCCAACCTGTAAACCAGGCCCAGTTAAATGTTTTCCTTTACAAGAGATGCTGTGGTCATGGTGTCTCCTCACAGCAATAGAAATCCTAAGACAGATGACATAAGCAGAGGAAGAGAAATAAATGCTCACATGGTTTCAATAATAACAATTTTCAAAGAAATGTGGACATGACACTGACCTGGGCTGCATTTATAGGAGAGTCATCCATTCTTCCTATTGGTCTTCTCTGAGTTTCTGTCTCAGCAATAAATACCAGAACTCTTCTTGATATTTCACATCAAGCTATGAAAAATACAAAGCTAATATTAACACAATGTTACGCACAATGCCAAAACACATAAGAACACGAAAATGCAAAATGATACTAAAGGTCTTCTCAACGTTTCTACAGACAGGGGAGCATGGAAAGATACATTTTGAGTGGTGAAAGAAAACAACTATTAACATTATCATTGCACCCAGAAACAGGGGCTCTTAAAATTCATGGAGAAGGAAGTTTACTTGAAGAAAGTTATGAAATAACACAGCTCATGCACTCAAGCAGCACTGAGGCAAAACATACATAGAAAACTCTGAGAGAAACTATCAAGGAGAACACAGGAAATAAGATATTTTACATAAAGAATAGCTAGAGAAGAGCTGAAGAGTAGCAACCATGTCCAAAACACAAACACAGCAAAACACTATTTCAATCTCAAGGGAGAAAATACTACCAGTAATCAACCACCCAGGATATTAAAACAAACAAAACACAAAACAAAAAAATCAAGAAGGCCCTGTGATATGAAAATCTCAGAAGAAATAAAGACAAAGTTCTACAAGATTTTTTGATGAACTCCTAATGGAACTAGGAAGAAATGGAACAGGACTCACCACAGTAAAGGGAACATGTGTCACACATAGGCCAACAATCTTATGCACAGAAAAAAAATGAAAACTGTGAGGATAGGAAGATGCTTGTGCTCTCCAGACTTACTGAATCAAGAGACATAAGAGTGGGCTACTGAAACCTGATTACGACAAAGGATAAAAAAGAGAAACAGATAGGAAAACAAGAATTCAAGCCCCATTTCAATGATGATGAAGTCATACACAAAATGCCACACAGATACCATGGGAAAATCTTAGACTTGATAAATGCTCTAAGTACTACTGAAAAACACAAAACTACTACACAAGGTAACTACTTCCTCTCTATATCAATAATGACAATTTGTGAAGTAAATTAGAAAATTAAACCAATCAGGTTGCATCAAAAAGATCTAGAAATAATGCTAAGTAATAATGAATTTGCTCTTATGAGGAAATTTTTAAGGCACTCAGAAAAAATGAAAATTATTAGTACACAAAGAAATGGATTTCCACGTACTCTAACTGACAAACAACCTGGTATAAATGGTTATATTAACAGCAATGGGCAAAATCTGTTCAATTCACAGCAGAAAATATTGCTATCTTCCACTAAAATAAAAATGGAAACAGTCAAATTGAACTGGAAAATCAAAAATATCAAAACTATCCTAAGAAAGATTATTCCTGGGGCTATCACAGGACCTGACCAAATATAATTCAGAAGCATCCTGCACATGAAGAAACATATAGAACTTTAAACAGAACAGAGAACCTAGAAATAAACATGCAGCACAGAGGTCATGTAAGCCAAATAGGTCAAACCCAGAAAAACGAAAGACCTTTTGAACATTCAGTGCTTGGGAAAAGGACTGTCCATTTGAAGAACAGTGATACTAAATCCCTGTCTCTCATCTTACACAAAAATGAACACAAACTATTTCAAAGACCTTCCTAGAAAACTTGAAATGCTGAAGGTACTAGAGGAAAGCAAGATTAAATGCTTAATAATTCAGAAATAAGCAAACAGTGTCTGAAAGTGCTTTCAGGAGCACAGAAACCAACCGGGAAAAATGACAAAGGGATTTCATGGAGTACAATGCCGAGGTCAGAAAAGTGTAGCACAGGCCGGCGGTGTTTTCTGGAGAACTCTGCTCGGTCTACCTCCAGTGTCTAGGGTCCAGGAACCAAGATAGTCAGTGTCTTCTAGGGCTAGAGAGGTGGCTCAGCAGTTAAGAGCACTGGCTGCTCTTCCAGAGGACCCGGGTTCAAGTCCCAGCACCCATATGACAGCTCACAACTGTCTGTAACTCCAGTTTCAAGGGACCTGAAACTTCCCATGGCAAAACACTAATACACATAAAATTTTTTTTTAAAAAGTGTCTTCTCCGGCCGGGCGGTGGTGGCGCACGCCTTTAATCCCAGCACTCGGGAGGCAGAGCCAGGCGGATCTCTGTGAGTTCGAGGCCAGCCTGGACTACCAAGTGAGTTCCAGGAAAGGCGCAAAGCTACACAGAGAAACCCTGTCTCGAAAAACCAAAAAAAAAAAGTGTCTTCTCCAAAAACTAACATCAATAATAGACAGAATGCTGACATCAACAGCAGACAGAATGCATGAGACTACATAATGAATGCTGAATAAAATATATACATTTATTTAATATATATTAAGTAATATGTGTTTAACATATAATTGACACATATTTAATATATAAACATAGTATTTAATATTTGACAGTATTTTAAGTATACAATAATAGAATTCATATAATACATTTTAATACCGACTCACTGATAGCATGTTTCATTCAAACAAGTGAAGAAATATAAAAGGATGTTTGTAAGATTCTAAATATCAAAATCCTACAAGCATTTCTTAAATATAAATAGAGAAATCTTCTTGAAATTTGAAACCACAAAGAATTGAAAATTTTTCAGATAAAGATCAAACCCAGAGGTAATTTCAAAATATATTAAATTAAAGCAATGCAAAACAATGAGAGTTGACATGAAGACAGAAGACAGGGGAAATCAATGGGAAGACAATGTAAATGTAGTTTAATACTCTGCACAGATATTAAGCAAATCTTATCAAAATCCTGCTAGTATTACTTTAGGAAATGGAGAAAATAATCATAAAAATAGAAAATCTGAAGGAACTACAAAATACTCCATATATATATATTTATTTGGTTTTTCGAGACAAGATTTCTGTGTAACCACCAAGGCTATCCTGGAACTCACTTTGTAGACCAGGCTGGCCTAAAACTCACAGAGATCTGCCTGCATCTGCTGCCCTGAGTGCCAGGATTAAAGGCATGTGTCACCACCACCCAGCCAAAAAGCTCCAAATTCTAAGAGCAGAAAAAACCCAAAAGGCATCAGTTGTTCTAACTAAACATTAGAATTATAGTAATAAAAACATTTAATATTGATAAGAAGACATGATCAGTGATGTAAACAGAAGAGGAACAGCATCACTGACATGAAAAACCAAACTAAATTATATTTGCCTCTGAGTATTAATTCTTAAATAGAGTCTTCTAATACCTACACTAGGAATATTCTGCAATTATGCTCAGTGGAATTCTCTAGAATCATTTTGAATTAAATAGAGTCTGGTGAAACCAACTTCATGCCCTGTTTCTGCTATCACTTGAGCCCTTCCCTACTCCTTCCTTGGTCCCTCTTACACACCTTGGCTACTGTCTCCTCTCTCTTCACCGTCCATGGCTTGTTTTTCTGATTCACAGGTGAGCAGATCTGGCTGAGCAGTGTGAGGCCTGCATAGGAGAAAAAGATTCTTCAGAAAGCACCTGGAACATTTCATGGAACAAAACTAAAAGATGTGTAACACCTGCCAAAGGATAAACATGAAGAGGAGAAAACATCTCACACACACACACGTCTTTTTCTGAGGATTTCACTTTGCTCTCTGAGATGTGAGACTCATCCACACACAGCTCACACACATGCAGAGTAGTTCTCCCAGGAACCCTCAGGAGGAGCAAGGGAGACTCAAAGAAAACTATTCTCGCCCTCAGAATCCAGACTGCTGCACTTCTCCAACAGGAGATCTCTGCAAAAAGCTCTGTGAGCAATATCTAGGCATTTCCATTCCTCCTATAAGAAGTCCAGAGTCACAGCACTGAATGTCAACAAACTGTGAAATAAAATACAACAGTTAGGCCATGTATGCATGGGCAGAGCACTTTTCTTCAACCAAAAAAAGTTTTTCTGATACAGGTGAGTGATCATAATTATTCAAAAGTTGATTTCTAAAACTGTGTTTCATGAGTTTGCTCTCTATAAAATATTGTGGCCTGATATACTCTCACAACATACCTGGACCTAAGATGTAACATGAAAACACAGCATATGAAGACACATTTCTGAATGCTGTATCCACATCCTAGACTGCATATATCTCGAAAAATTAATGGGCAGTGAAAACTTTGCCTAGTAAATGTTAAGTGTTTTCAGCTATAACTGGGAGCGCTGATAAAGTATATTTTCTGATTCAATCAAATCTGCACTGGTTCCTCGTGTGATTACAATCTACAAAGTTCTGAGGGAATGCCTATTCCTCAAGGCGAAAGGCATTCTATTGAATAACCAAGTGGTAAAATGGAAGTTACAAAGCTTGGGCGGCGCTGGCGCATGCCTTTAATCCCAGCACTCAGGAAGCAGAGCCAGGAGGATCTCTGTGAGTTTGAGGCCAGCCTGGTCTACAGAACCAGATCCAGGACAGGCAGCAAAACTACACGGTGAAACCCTGTCTCGAAAAACCAAAATAAACAAACAAACAAACAAACACCAACGCATGGATGAATTGAAATTCCAGGAGCTTTGGAACTGCCACAATAGCAAAGAGAACCCTGTTTGCAAATAACAGGCAATGCAAATGCTCTACTAGATTATTTTATGAATTATTATATGACAAAATTCTGGAAACAGTAAGGTAAATGAAAAAAAAATCACGATCAACTCAGTTCAGAGGATCTCAACCCTACCGACAACGGAAAGACATCCACAGCAGAACTTCAGAGCCGGCTTCCTTATGAACAGCAGAGAAACTGCTCGCACCCCCGGTCCCTCCCCTCCCGTGTCCCAGCCCCGCAGCTCCTCTGACCTGGGAGGTTCCAGGGCCGCCGGGCTGCGGTTCCCGCCACTGCGCTGCTGACTGGTGACTTTCCCAGGCCGCCCGGCGCGGCGACTGCGGCTCCGGGGAGGTTTCGTGTCCCCGCGACACCCCGCCGTGTCCTCCTCACCCAGTTCCGGATCAACGGGCTCCCGGTGTCAAACAGGGAATGGTGGAATTTCCTGTCACTTCAGCCTGGTTCCTAGGAGCGGCTCCCTCTGGCCCCGCCCAATACACCCTGCTTCCGGTTACGTGATTTCTCTAAACCCGCCTACCGGGGCTCTTTTTAGTTGGCCAACTCCACGCTGCTGGTTTTTTTCTCTAAATTCCTCTGACTCAGCAGGTGTCCCCGCCCCTAGGGGACTCGTCCCTCCCACTCTGTCTCAGGCTGCCTTCCACACAACTCCAGCTGTCAGGCTGCCCTGGACCCGCTCTGCACAGCCTCCCCACATGCTCGCTGCCAGCCTAGACCAGAACTGGGTCTAGGAGGACGCTGCACCTCGGAATCTGACCCCCACCCTGGGTTCTGAAACCTTGGGATACAAGTTATCTTGTGTTTGGAGCAAAAAGGTAGATGCACGTAGTTAGTATAACAAAAGTTATATTTTATTATGCTGAGGGTCTTCACACAAGGTTCACAATCAAGGCTGATCACCTGTGCGACGTGTATCTTAGCTGAAGGTCAGGTCCAGTCTCTAACAAAAGTCTCTGATTAGAGCGTCAGGATCCTAGGGAGACTCTCCAGACTCTGGGCAGATCAAGGTGGCCTCTCTCCAGATGTGCAGAGCAGAGCATTGCTCTTGGTCTCTGCTTAAATACTGTCCAGTGGGCGTCATGGGGTCTAGGACTGTGTCTAGTTGGTTATCTTGAGTGAGTGATGTCACTAAGTTCTGGATGTCAAGTGCACCCTTGGGTGTAGTGGGGATCCTTACTAAGCTATTTTTACATTTCTAAAAGGCATTTTTTTTTTTAAAAAAAAACCTATGCTCATTACATCCTGCCTAACTTCTCATCTTGGAATAACAGCCTCCTGGGTTAAAAATGCACAGCAAAAGACAACAAACACCCTGAAGTCTGAGGCTCAGGTTCCACACTCCCAAAACAAATTAAAACTAAGATAAAACGCCCTTGGCTCAAAGCACAAACCATATCTGTATCCCCTAAGGAGAGAAAGTTAAATAATATCTAATATACAGAACTCAAAAACCAGAGTCATGTTTAACATGGCCAAACCTGTAAATCATGTGATTCGACTCAAAGAGGACAGGAACAAAATGATTCGAGGACAAGAAAACACTAGCAAATACCTGAAGGAAATGAGGACAATGTAGGATATGAAAAACGAATTTAATAAGTAGTTAGAAACACCGAGAAAAAAAATCAAAACTGAAAGGAAACAAATGAAAACTGCAATAAGCCAATTAATAGCTCAAAGAGATCCCTCAGGTAGGAGAGAGAATATCAGGCTTGAAGATAAGGTAGAAGAGCTGGATGATTCAGTTAAAGAAAATAATGAATTAAAATAAAAATGCTCCATGTAGATAGCACTAGCTAAAGGTAAAAGTGAAGTTTCAGGTGCACATTCTACACTTATTTGAAATATTCTGAATTTTACACACAGTACCTTAGTCTGGAGAGCTTTACTGGAGAGCTGGATAATCATTACCATCACTACACAAATGAAGTGACACTAAAAAGCCATCTTTATCCCTCACAGACCTCCATTATTGCCAGACAAACATCTGGAATTATTAGCAATGTTGACTTGGGAGAAGACAATTCAGTAACTCAGGATTTAGAAAAGAAATAGGTGTCTTAGGAAGTCAGTGGTCAGTCAGCCTGTTAATAGCCTAATAATGAATTCATCCTATGCTGTCACATGGTGATATTGTGGTTGTGTTAACTCAGAAACAAGTTTGTCTTCTGGGAAGCATACTGAAGGTGTTTTTATGGAAAACATAGAAAATTCAATTTTAAAACTAAGTGGTGAATGTAGAAGCTTCTGGCTAAGCAAGATGCAGAAAATAAGTGACATAAATGGGTGCAACCCTAAACAAGTCAGTTGCACCATGCCATCTATGGCCCTGGGAATATTGAGGAACAGGTGGTGGAAAGGAAATAAGAAAAGAAAGATGAGGAATGGCCATGACCTGCCATTCTCCATACTCCAGAAACTCATATCAGTAGGTCAGAGCAACTGTTCTTGCTTGTACTGGGCTCAGTCAAGGCCAGCCCTGGACACAATCAGTCTAGGAAGGGGAGAGGCTCATAGGTCTCCACCCTTTACCTCTCAATTGTGACTATGGATAGACTTTAGAAGAAGGGGAATCACTGTCTTTAGGTGTGTCTCTTCTGATGAATCCACCGGCTCCATCACATAGCTCCAAGCTCACAGTTTCACATACGGCCCCAGTTAATCTTAGTGGATCAAAAAACATAATGAATAGAAATGAACATGAGAGAGAGTTATGGAAAATAGGGAGACAGAGAGAGACGGGGAAATAGAAGGAGGAAGATAGAGAGAAGGATGTGTATGGGCCAAGATTGTAGGCAGTAGGGATCAAAGTGTAAACTAAGCAAGGTATATCATGTAAAATGGAAAAAAGATAATAATTAAAGTTAAAATCTTTCATTTTGCCTCTTTATCAGGTTTGATATCAGGTAATATTGATTTCATCAAAAATCTGGAAGCCTTACCTTCATTTTACATCAAGGAGTATTTTAAGTAGCATCTCTGAAATTCTGACATAATTCTGTGATGAATCAATCTGCTTCTAGGCTTCTCTTTTTAATCAGGGTGTATTTATTCCTGCTTCATTGTTGTTGCTGCTTATATTTAGTTCATGTTGGTGTAATTTGGGTGTGTGGTATAAATCAGGAGATTTGATCATTTCTTTTAGCGTCCCTAATTTAGTTCGATGAGGTCTTTAGAGTCAGCAGGCACCAGATATGCTTGTACACTCCTGTCTCGTGATTGGGCTATGCAGTTAGCTTGAGTACTTCCCAGGTCATGTTGACAATAAGTCCCATATACATTGCTATCAAAGAGATGCAGACTAAATCTCCTTTAAGATTCCATCTCACCACAGTCAAAATGCTATCACCAGGATTTATAACAACTTGTGACATGAATGTGGGGAAAGGGACACTGTTGTACACTGCTTGTGGGAGTGTAAACTAGAGAAGACACTTTAGAAAGGATTCTATATTTTTCTTAAAAACACTAGAAATAGAACTATCCTACATACTATACTGTTTAGCTATTTATCCACAGATGCTCTTATGATTGTTGCCTACAGTTCTCTGTGTACACCCATGCCCATCTGCATAGGCTGAGAAAAAGAGACTCCAGAATTATTCAAGCACCTTCAGAGTCTAGGTAAGAATATATTTGTCATGATTATAATCAGGGCCAGATTTCTCTGGTGTGTTCTGAGGTTTAGGCTGTGCTGTGATGATCATGACAGGTAAATAGGCATCCCAGCTTTGCAGGGAGGTTAGAACACAGAAATACAAACGCAGAGCTAGGGGTCTGTCCTTAAAGAATAGGGTTCTGAGCTCATGGGCACCTTTCAGGTGACAGAACAGCTCGTTTCACATTGTGGTGAGTTCTATTGTTTCTCTCCATATGGGAAAAGAATGATGTCACCAGCTAATAGATTCTGCATATGTGCATGGATTAAACACATTAGTGATTAACTCCATGTCACAAATAATCCTAGCTGAGTCAAGGAAAGAAATGAAAGCATTTTCCATTGGAGTAATTTAACTAAGAGCAAGTCCAGATTTGAATTCTCTACTTGAAGTTCCCTGTCCCTTCCATCCCCCAGTTCTCTGTTCCATGAGTTTTAATCTCTTCCTGCCCGAAGGCTGTCTTGTAAATCTATCCCTGTGTGTTTGGTTGCTGTCTGTCTGTCTCTGTGTGTGTTTGTCTGTGTGTCTGTGTACACTGTATGTATCTGTCTGTCCATAACAAAGTGTTTTTCTGTTTTTTATTGAATAGTATAGTGCTACAAGCCACAAAAATATATAAAGTGGGATTTCAGCTGATTATGACAAAGCTAACACCTGGAAGAAGCCAAGGGCCTTCCAGAGGTCAAGCTGAGGCTCAAGGAGTATTGGTGATATTGTCTTTTGATTATTAGCTGTTTCTTGCTATGAATTTCTCATGTGCTATTGTAGCTTTTCCATCATTTATTGGGCACCATTTCTCTTCTACTAAAGGAATATTTAGATAACCTGTACTAACAGTTATGCACAGCCAGAAGCCCAGTTTAAGCCTCCCTGTGATTATCGTCATTGGCAGCAGCCAGCCAGGGCCATCCCCAGACAGAGGAAAGTTCCTTATCTGAGATACCTATGTACTGTCTAAGAAGAGACTTAAGCATCCAGACTACCTGTTTGAGAAGGCCTGGTGGATGTGCTAATTTAGCTTAACTTTCTCCTTTTCAAAGTCTTATCTCTGGTTTTAGAACCACCCTTAACAATTAACTCAGAACTGAGGGTTTCAACTTACAGGTACATCTAGCTGTGATGGAAGTTGCCTAGCCAAGTTGCCTAGCGACCGAGCACACTTGCCAGAAACGGTGGGAGCAGAGATAGCTTGGAGAGATAAGAATCAAATCGATAAAAAGTCAGTTTTATTTTCAGAATGGAGGGAGACCGAGAAGAGAGAAAACAGGAGAACTCAATGGAGAACTTGAGGATGAGATGGAAGATGAGGAAGAGCCAGATGGGGAAGTACTAGATGGGTAAGAAAGAGATAAGAAGGACTAAGATGAGAAAATTAAGATAGAACTTAGAGGGGACAGTAGATAAATATAGAGAGAAATCAGGCAAGAAAAGAGCTAGGAGTGAAAACAGAACTGAAGCTATTTAGATAGGATTTTATCCCAGAGGAATAAAATAGATGGACAAAGAGTTTGCTGTACTTAGATTCTTTTCCCGAAAATAATTCTCACCATTAATAGTTTCTCTTCTGAGCCCCTGGAAAGTATATTATTAAGGCTGGTCCTATAATAATATACAAGAGTATAGAAAGCATCACATGAGGTAGGTATGAGAAATTCTTAACGGACATTAAATCCTCTGGAACTAGAATTGTGGATGGTTACAAAGCAACATATGAGTGCTATGAACTGACTTCCAGTCCTCTGCAAGAGCATAAAGCGTTCTTTGTTGCTGAGCCATCTCTCCAGCCCCCAGGTAACATTATCAAAACAGGAGTTTTAAAGGTTTGCATAGTCTCAATATATGACATTCCCAGAAAAAAAAATTGACATTACACTGATCTTGAATGTATTTACTGGAGAAGCAGCCATTTCTCCTGTTTCTCTGCTCTGAGATTGTGTCTCAGAAAGAATGACTGGACCTCTTCTTGCCTTTTCAAATCCAAGTGTCAAAAATGCACATATAAACTACATTGATATTAACAACAGATACTGGAGACAAAACAAGAGCAATAACATATACCCACAGTATTAGTAAGAATCCAACTAACCACACCCACAGTGCAACTCAGGATGGAGTATTGGTTATTAAGGCCACTCCACGTGGTTAAAAGGGAGGTTTATTTTCTGGGGTAACTTACAAGTGAAGGGATAGGCTACAGGGTCTGGGAAAGGTGTAGCACAGGCCAGCGGTGTTTTCTGGAGAATCTGCTCGGTCTACCTCCAGTGTCTAGGGTCCAGGAACCAAGATAGTCAGCCCATCCGGATCTCGGGTCTTCAGGATCCTCTCTTAGCCCTGACTTGTAGGCGTGACTGTTACCAAAAAGCCTAAATGGGGGTTTGAACTTCCAGATCAAAGCTGGAATGGCTACACACTACAATGGAGCTTCTTGAAAAATAAAACAAATTAAAAAAAATGAGACTGGATGTAAGAGACAGGACCAGGTGGAGCTCTGTGTGTTGGAGGCCATCTTGGTGTGCTTGAAGAGTTGCAAGCCAGCTAAGGCTAAAAAAGTGAAAATAATTAAAGCATATATTTCCCACAAGACATTCACTTCAAAACTGACATAAAGCACTGAGAGTGAAGGATTTTAAGTGACAAAAAGATTTGCCTTGTAAATTTATTTCGGGGGTTCTTAGAGGGACACTACATTTAATAGTAAACTTTTCACACTTCAGCACTGAAACTGTCACTGTGTCAAAGCACCAGGGACAGCTGCATGACCACACAGAGCCTCAGTGAGGAAGATGATGAATAAAGCAACCATCAAACAGATGACACCCGTGGCCTCAGACAGGGAAAAGCCCAGGACAGAACAGAAGGGCTACTTCTTGGGAGATGGTTTCCTGGCATAGCCAATAACCAAGCTGCCAACACCACATCAATGCCAACCCCTGATCCCTGATGCAGCCATTACACTGCTCAAGTACCAATACACTGTGCTATGATGTGGGTTTCCCAAGAGGACACACTGGTCTGGAAATCCCATCTGACCTGCTGGAGAAGGGAAATGCGGGGGTGGTGGTGGGGTCTGTTGAGATGGGCCTGTGGTCAACAAGGAAGCCAGGCAGACACCAGCCTGTTTAGATCACTGGAAAGAAGAGGATTAGAACTGGAGAAATAAGAACTATCTTGGTGGTCTGCATTATTTCAATCTCGAGGATTTAGCCCTTATCACTTCACCTCTTAAGGACACTAAATGTTGAGTGTGAAGGAAAGTTTTAAAAGATACTTCATGAATGTGGGTAGCAATAAAGAAGATGGATGGGCACAATTATGGAAGATAACAGACAATCCAATACAAAACTCTGTAAAAAACAAAAAGAATACTGACCAATGATAAAATGTACCAAGGATGATGATGAAATGTTTGCTAGAAGGCTATATTATCAGCGTGGGTTCATTTTACTCAACAGTTTCCAAACACAAGACACAATCACTAGTAGAGTGGTAGGGAGAAAATAGACAGAAATGCTGGGAAACTTCAATGTCTAACACTTAGTTACAGATAATGAAATCAAACAGCATGGTGGACTTCGAAAACTAAATAAGTGCCCCAGGCTGGAGGGTTTAGGGTGCACTTAACCAGAAGCTGGGGTGTATTGGGCGGGGCCAGGCGGCGCCTATCCAAGGAACCAATAAGAAGTGACAGGAAATACCACCATTCCCTGTTGGACTGCGTGGTCCGGAAGTCCACGAGGAAGACCCGGCCGGGTATTGGGGACCTGAAATCTCCGCGGAGCCGCAGTCGCCGCGCGGGGCGGCCTGGGAAAGTCACCAGTCAGCAGCGCAGTGGCGGGAACCGCAGCCCGGCGGCCCTGGAACCTCCCAGGTCAGAGGAGCTGCGGGGCTGGAACAAGGGAGGGGAGGGACCGGGGTGTGCTCGCGGAGGCTGCTCAGAAGGACACTGTCGGCTCTGGCTGACCTGCCCGTGGCGTTCGGGAACCTACGGTAGCTACGTCATCACCTGAGGCCACGCGCGGTCATTTCCGTAACTAGGAACTGGATGCCTCGCTACGCTCCAGGCGCACCCCTTAAAAGTGTTCGTCCATCACAGTTCTCTCTCATGCTCCTCGCTTGCTCTCTTGACTGTTCTGTCTCTGTCTCTGTCACGTCCCCACTCTGAAACGGACTTTCGCTCTTTATCTCATCCTCCGCCCCCAATAAAGCTCTTTCCCTAGACCTGTAGCATGTGGTGTGAGCCTGTCTCGGTGCTCTTCCTGCGTTGTCTTCAATGTTGGTAATTGTTTAGGACCTTGAGTGTGGACACTGACTGGGCGAGAGATCTTAGTGTACATCAGATGAACACTTTCTTCATGACTAATCGTGTGGAACGTGTGCTATTTACATTTAGGTTATGTCAAAGCTTTTGTACGTTGTCACTTTGGGGGGCGTTATTTCTTGATTATAATATTTGCTTTTGATTTTTTTTTTGTCTCCTTGATAAACTCTGGGTATTTATGTATTGTTCAATGAATTGTTTGATAATACATATCTCCATTCTGTAGACTATTTCTTCATACTTTCAGTTATTACCATTTCTATGCAACTTTTTTCCAACTGAACACAGTCAGATTTAACCAGTTCATTGCTTTTCACCTATTTTCATTTTTATATGTGGATATTTACCTTTCCTAACAACACTGGTTGACGAGGCTTTCTATTGAGTAACATAAGTTAATGGCGTTTTGGTGAAATTCATTTGGTCACAGCAGGTCGGATTGGTTCTGGATCTGCTGCTCTTACTGCTTTAGGTGTCTGCTCTTCTGCCACCGCCATGGTGCTGCTGTTCCCGTGGGTCTGCAGTGTCATCTGAAATAGCAGCTGGGATGACTCAAGCTTTGCTCTGCACTCTTAGGGTCTTTGTAATTTTGTCATTTGTAAATAGTGTAAATTTGTAGCAGTCTCTTTACTGTACCTGAGGAGTCAATCATGGGTAGCTTGATTGTCATGGACTTTGAGTTAATCGTATATTTTAACACTGTCATTTTCATCATACTGTATTTTATTTCATGTGCATTCCTGTTTTCCAGGGTCATCCTCCATTCCTTCAGTAAATTCAAGTTTCTATTTTATAAGTATTTCTTGTGCTTGATTAGTGGTTTTTTTTTTCTTTTTTTAAAAACCTTTTTTTTTTTTTTTTTTTTTTTTTTTTGGTTTTTCGAGACAGGGTTTCTCTGTGTAGCTTTGCGCCTCTCCTGGAACTCACTTGGTAGCCCAGGCTGGCCTCGAACTCACAGAGATCCGCCTGGCTCTGCTTCCCGAGTGCTGGGATTAAAGGCGTGCGACACCACCGCCCGGCTTAAAAACCTTTTTATTGTTACTGTTCAGTTTTAATTAAATAAATAGAAGCAAATACAGATAGTATAAAACAAAAGTTCTATCTCCAAATAGACATTGATATCTCCTCTTTAGTTCTATTTGTATAAATATTGTGAGTATAAGTAATGATATTTAGTAATTTCATAGGTTTATCCACTCAACATTACCCCTTGCTATGCTCTGACCGATCACTGGGTAGACATGTTTCCTTCCCAGTTTTCTCCCTCATATTTTATGTATGATTTGGACAGGTTTGGGCCAGGTATCCAGGCCGTAATGTGTCCATAATTCCAACTGGCATGTCATATAGCTAGAGGGTTTTTCACATGTCACCTCCCCATCCTCCAGCTCTTAAAATCTTTTACCTTCTCTTCTGTAATATTCTCTGCAAGTTAGATGTGAGAAGATGGAATTCCCATTATAGCCTGTGCAGTAAGCAGTCAATTGTTCTCACTATGTGATGAGTTATGAGTTTCTGAACTAACTGTTGTCCATTGAAAACAAAGTTTCTTAGACCTAGGCTGAGAGCAACACCAAGGTATAGTGTGAACAGAACCAGTAAAAGGCAGATTGAATATTTGTACATGTAGCAGAATATCAGTAGTGGATTCCCTCTTAGGGCCTGTGACCTTCACCATCACTGGCTTTTGGCCAGGTTCCTAGTACTATCCATGTCTTTCCTTCTGTGGAGCCAGCTTCAGAAGAAACCATAAGGCCTTTCTTTACCCACAAAATAGTCTTGCCAAACTGACACCAATGGGTGTTCCTTGCCTGGCATGTTGGTAATAGAGCACACAGGATCCAAATCTGGGTATGGCCATTAATATCTCTCTCCACAGCCCCACCTTGCCTAGCAGTTTTTGACACTATAAATGCTACCACTGGGGAGTCTAAGATATTTTTTAGACACCATGAGTAGTCCATTGACTTTCAGCGTCTTCTTGTTGGTATGTAAAAACAAAGTGATGTTGTATGTGCATTAATCAGCATGTGAGGAGGTCAATCAGATCTTAGCTTTTTCGTGAGTATTTCTACTTTTAAATTGCAGAATTCTATTTCTTAATGAAGAGTTCCCTTTATTACTGAACTCTAATATCACCTTTAAAGTTTTCTCTGTCCTTGAACTGTGTACCCAATGATGCATTGTTTTGAGTGTGGAAGTCACTCTTCTCTGTCCTGATTAGGGCAAAATGATTCCAGCTGTTTTTCTGTATTGTTAGGTTTAGGATTGTGTCTAATTGTCTTTATTATGCTGAAGCATATTTCTTTTTTTGTAATATTCTTCAGAGCTTTGATAATGAGCAGATATGATACTTTGCCACAGGCCTTTCTTGAGTCTATCGACATGATCATTTTTCTTCTCTCACTGAGTCTACATATTCGGTGTATAACATTGATTAATTTATGTGTTGAAACAGTGTTACGTTCTTGGCATTAAGTCACCTCTTATTCTATTGCCATGTAATTTAGACAAAATCTCTATGTCTATGTTGATCCTGGAATCCGGTCTGTGGTTTTTCTTTGAATATGCTTGTTTGGGCTCATCTGCTTTGGGTATTCGGCCTCACCTGCTTTGGGTGTTGAGGTAAAACTAGCTTTTTATGTTGACTTTCTACCATTCCTTTTCTTTGTGTTTTGTGCAATATTATCCTTGTGGTATTATTATAAGGTTTTTGTAAAGAAAAGGAGAATTCTCTTCTGAGTCTGTCCTGGGCTTAGACACTGTTAAGGAGACTTCTTGCTTCAGTCTCAGCATTGTTTAATGCCTTTCTAGCTTTATACTTTATACTAGCAGGTTGAGTTTTTCATTTGTTTTTAGGAGCTTGTCCATGTTTTCTTCAATTCAATTTTTTTGTGTATGACTTTCCACAATACTCCATAAGGTAAGTCTGATGTCATTGGGATACACTGCAATGTCCGTTTTTCAACTCTAGTTCCATTACTTGGGGATTCATTCTTTTATTTTGTATTTGCTGAAAAGTACTTCATCCATCCTTTTGTCAACTTACAGAAACAAGCTTGTTTCCTTGACTCATTGTATTGTCTAGACTCTGTTTCATTAATTTCTACACAACCTTTTAAATATAAGGAGCCACTGCAGATTTTATTAAATCAAGAAGTATATTTTAGCAAGCTTTAAAAGCTGTAGTTGTAAATTTAACATTTAGTAAGCATACTTTTTTCTTCTACCAATTTCTATCTGGGACTTACAGTGCACATTAGAATGTAAATACAGCACTCAGAAACATGTTTTCATATGATTAGTTCTTAATACTACACTTTAGGGTCTGGAAAACTTCACTATGTATGCATGCTAGGAGAGGATATCAAGTCACACTTTTTATAGTGATAAGATGAACTATAGATTAGGAGAGAATTAGAAAGCATTGGTCAAATATTTCTTATCACTCAACCATAAAAATTCAATTTTGTCTTTTTTCTCCTTTTTCCAAGAAAAAACATTTTCCCATAACACATGAACAAATTCTATTGGTGTAGTTTGGTTTTTTTGGCTTTGTTTTTTAGAGTAAGTATAACACTCCTTTGCTCTGTCTGGCTCAAATTTCGCCATGCACACCAAACTGGGCCCCCAAGGGATCTGCCTGCCTCTGCCTTCTTGGTGCTGGGACACAGCAGTGCAGGAACACAGATGGCTCAAACACTCACTTGTGTTGTTTTTAATTTCATGATTTGTTGGCAGTCAGTGCTGTGACTGTGGACTGCTCTCAGGAGCAGGGGCAGTGCTTGCAGCCTGCTCAGCTGGCTTTATACAGACACTGGATGTGCCACAATTGCAGCAGTCTGTTTTGTGTGTGAGAATAGTTCTCTTCCAGCCTGCGTTGCTCCTCAGGATTCCAAGGAAAACTATTCTGCTAGTATGTGAGTTTTGTGTGAGTGAGTCTCACAGAGGAAAGTGAAATCCTAAGAGGAGAAAAGTGCATTGCCTGATACTATATTCTTCATGTTTGTCCTTTTGGGAGGTGTTAGTCTTTCACTTTTGTCCCATGTTCAATTTAGAAAGACAGCAGTGTATAATACTGTCATTCCATTGTTCAGCTCTATTTCCAGCCTTGTGTTTTCATTGAGCTGTGATTAGAAATGGTGGAACTCAAGTTATGGTAACTGAAAATACTTCCTAAGTGCTTTATCCTGATGGTATATGAGATCTGGGTAAGAATCCTTTATTTTCTCTTTATCTACTGAGTACAATACTGAGTTTGAAACCGAGGTACTTTCTGAAGATTGTCTGTCCCATGTACAGATTTCTTTGATAAGCCAGACCTGCTCACTTTTAATGCAGAATCTAGAGCCCTGGGTGGTAGAAAGGAACTAGACAGTACCAAATATACCAGGAATTTTGGAGTTATTAAAGTAGAGTTGTTGAGGTGTTTGAGTGACAGTTGAAACAGAATGGGGGTGCTGTTGATGACTCAGCAGTTAATAGCCCTTGCTTGTCCAGAAAAGGACATGGGTTCAGTTCTCTGCACCCACATGGAGGATGACAGATTT